TCACTGTCTCCTGGTGATTGGACCAAAGTCACCCATCAGTTTCATGCCTACAGCGGGACTAGAACTCACCGTCTTCTGCACCACCATCAGACAACACTGATTTTCTCCCTTCCCCTCAACTTTTCATCGGGTGCAAGAAGAAATGAAATATAGGCTTCCTATATCAGGTATCTGAGAGCTAGAAAGCAAGTCACCACACCACAAAAACCCCACTGATTCCCCGTGAGAGCTGACCAATGGCAAACGGGGATCCTAGATAAGATTCCAGAAGGGGTGGATTGATGGGTTACGGCAGTGGTCCCCAACCCCCGGTCCGCGGACCGGTGCCGGGCCATGGAGTACCTGGCACCGGGCCGCGCAGCGGCCGGGGGCCATGATCGCTGCAGCGCAAAGGCTCCTGGGCCGTGCGCAAAAGCTCCAGGGAAGAGAGCGAACAACGCCCCCCCCACCCCTGCGCGCGCTCAGCGGGCCACGGTAAAATTATCAAAGGCTGACTGGTCCGCGGCGATAAAAAGGTTGGGGACCACTGGGTTACGGGACTCTTTCCTCTGCTGGCTTCGCTTCTTTCTGAACCCCTGCGAGCCACGTGGGCGCAAGGACTCTCCGAACATTGTCGAGGGCAGAAACGACAAATTCTCCCATACCCAAAAAAGAAGAAGAAGAAGAAGAAAATATATTCTAATATAAATATACTGTTAAAAACTATTTAAAATAGTTTAAAGAGAGACCTGGACTGCCACATGAAAAGGGCCAAGGTCTCCTTTTGAAATGTCAGTAATAAAGCCTAAAATTACACACACACACAGACACATATACAGATACACACATACAAAAACTTTGGGAATAAACTTAACATTTTACAACTAGTAAAGCAATCCAGAATTGCAGGGAGCTGGCAGTATTTTCTTTCTTCTTCCCTTCCTCCTGTCCTTCCCTCCCTTCTTTCCATTTGTTCTCTCTTTCTCTCACTCTCACTCCTTTCTTCCTTCCTTCCTCCTTCTCTTCTTTCTTCTCATTGTCTCTCCTTCTTCCTTCACTTTCCTTACTTCTAATTTTTTTCCTTTCTCTTTTTCCTTTCTCTCTTTTTCTTTCATCCTCTCCCTTTCTCTTTTCTCTTTCCCTTTTTTCTTTGTGTCTTTCTTTTCTTCCTTCCTTCTTTCTTATTGTCTCTCCTTCTTCCTTCACTTTCCTTCTCTTTTTTCTTTCTCTTTCATCCCCTCTCCCTTTCCTTTCTTTCTCTCCCTCTCTCCCTCCCTTTCCCTTTCTTTCTTTCTCTCTCTCTTTCTCTTTCTTTCTCTTCCTTTCTTATTGTCTCTCCTACCTTCACTCTCCTTACCTGTCTTTTTTTCATTCTCTTTTGCCTTTCTTTTCTCTTTTTTCTTTCTCTCTTTCTTTCTCTCTCCTTCTCTTCTTTCTCTCTCTCTTTTCCTTTCTTTCTATCTCTTTTCTCTCTCTCTCCTTCTCTCTTTCCTTTTCTTTCTTCCTTTCTTATTGTCTTTCCTTTTTCCTTCACTTTCTTTCTTTTTTCTCTTTCTTCCTCTCTCCCTTTCTTTCTTTCTTTCTCTCTCTTTCTTTCTTTCTTTCTTTCTTTCTTTCTCTCTTTCCCTTTCTCTTTTATTTCTCTCTCTCTTTCTTTCTCGTCATCTCAGTGACGTGGCAGTTTATAACAACATAATAAAACAATATAAACACCCTCCTTTCTCTGCCCCTTCCCCCACACCGGATCGCCAGCAGCCTCCGCCCCGGTTTTTCCGCTGCCTCCTCCTGACTCAGCAAAACGAGCTCCGGGAAGCCCAACCCAGGAAAGGCATTGCACACGTGCGCGTGTGACACACCAACGGCTCCTTCCACTCGGAAGGCGAGGGCGGGGAAGGACAGCCGTTCCGCGCGTGCAGACCCCCCCCCCTTTTCCAACCTATCGGCTCCACCCGCGGTGCTCCGGCCTCGATCTGGGTGGGGGTCTCCTCATTGAAAAGCGGGGTCCGCGGAAGACGCTGGGGAAACGCTCGGGAGTGGGGGAATCATCAGTCTCGGACCCCCCCCCCATGTCACCCGGAGTGGTACGTTCCGCCCAAACTTTACAACTTTAAAGGGGCTTTAAGACGCGTGTTGGGACTTGGGAGCCTCCCAGGGATGCGAGGAGCGGCGCGAGCGGCGTGGAGGTGCTGGGAAAGGGCACCAAGCGGCGATCGCGGGCCGTGGCGGCGCTGGGTCAGCACCATGGAGAGCGAAGGGAGCCGGAGCATCCATTCCGACAACGTCTCCGAGGTCCACGAAGTGCCCATGCGGGTCATCATCAGGCCCATCCCGCCCGTGCTGGACGAGGGGAAAGTGGAAAGTCTCATGAAGACCATCCAGGTAGGGCCGGGTCCCCACGACCCTGGGTCGGGTCAGGTCATGACTCGGGTTTCTCTTCCACGATGGAGGTAAAATTGGATCGTCCACTGCCTTGAAGCCCAGATAGAGGGTGAGGATGGCCCCCGGCAGGATAGTGGGCTTCGGAAAAGGGTTCATTATTATCCTATCCTATCCTATCCTATCCTATCCTATCCTATCCTATCCTATCCTATCCTATCCTATCCTATCCTATCCTATCCTATCCTTATCTATCTATCTATCTATCTATCTATCTATCTATCTATCTATCTATCTATCTATCTATCTATC